CTTGTAGCCTACTGTACTGTGAGAGAATAAATTTCTCTTTGTAAAGCCATCCACTTGTGGTATTTCTGTTAGAGCAGCACTAGATGACTAAGACAGAATTTGGTACCAGGAGTTGGGTGCTGCTCTAACAGATACCTAAAATGTGGAAATGGTTCTGAAACTGTGAATGAATAGAGGTGCGGCAGCAGAGGACCAGCAGCGGCAGAGAACCTGCAGCAGCAAAGAAGAGGCAGCGATAGAGAACCAGCAGCAGCAGAACCAGAAGACCAGTGCGAGACAGCGCTGGAGCCGACCCACAGAGCGAGAGAGCTGAGTGCCTGTGTGCCGGAGGCTTCCTGGTGGAGTGGGGTGTCTTCAGGCACTTATTGGTGGAGTTAGGCTTGCTGACCCACAGAGCGAGGGAGCTGAGTGTCTGTGTGCACAAGGCTTCCTGGCAGAGTGGGGTGCCTCCAGGCACTTAATCAGTGGAGCTACCGAGCTTTGGAACAGTTGCCCCAGCAGGGCGGGCATGAGGCCCGAGGGCCAAGAGGCCACGGAAAGCAGAAGTTGAAGAGGCAAGGAACACAAGAAGCCAAGCTGCCTCGGTCTCAAAAGATATGGTCATGACCTCAAGGGTTTCAAAGTGTGGAGTTGTAACTCTGAAGGACTAGGAGAATGGTACGCCTAAAGCCAAGGGAACAGAGTTGCCATCCCAGTGGGCCCGGAAGGCGGAGCTGAAGCCCAGGGCGAGGGGTCTCCACTCAGAATCCGGAGACTGTGGCTAATACTTAGAGTCTGGAGGGCAGGGCTATTGTGTAAATTGTCTCAGAGAACAGAGGATTATTTTCAAGCCTTGAGGGCTAATGTAATGTGTTCTGCTAACGTGCTTGGTGCCTGTTATTCCTTCTTTCCCTGCAATTTCTCCCATTTGTAATGGAAATGGCTAGCTTGTGTCTGTTCTGCCATTGTACCTTTGGAAGCAGATAACTTATATTCTAGATTTCACAGATGAAGAGGAATTTTTGGATTTTGGACTTGGAGTTAAGACTTTTGCTATGGTATGATGAGATGAATATGTTTTGCATGTTGCAAAGATGCGATTTTTTGGGGGCCAAAGGGTGGAATGTCATGGATTGAATTGTGTCCCCCAAAAAATGTGTGTAGCACCTTGGCTAGGTCATGATTCCCAGTACTGTATGATTGTGTTATCTGATGTGATTTCCTTATGTGTTGTAAACTCTACCA